CTCTTTGACCACACAACAAGCCTTCAGTGATACTACGCACTAAATCGCGCGACCCCATTTCCAAGCTTCCAACTCTACTGTCCTCAGTGAGACGAAAGGAAGGGTTCCCCACCTTTTCACTATAGCTGACTGGGGTGGAGGAAGCCTGGATGTAAAGATAGATTTGAAAAAGAAGTGCAGGAGCATTCAAGGCCGTGGACAGGCCCCCTGGCAAATTCACCTAGGAGCTGCCAGGGTGGGGAGATTGCTGAACCAATTGTTCAGGGCCAGCGTTGCAAAGCTAGCATCTGTCATCATGGGGAACAGAAGGGTCATATGTGCCACATCGCCAGCTTCCCACTACTCCCCTAATGAGCCAAGAAAGACATGAAAGCCAGTTAGTGACCAAACGTCCCCATTCTGCATTGCACATGTACTAGAGGGGATACCCGAAAGGCCAATTAATCAAAAACTAAGCCCGTCACCCCAAGTGACCCCGTTCAACTGTAAAATAGGTTGCTGGGGGGGAATTCCTAATGTCCATCCTAATGCACACATTCTGAGTTTCTGGTTCTCATGTTTCTACTTCCTCAGCATAAGCTGTTATTGATCATCTTGTTTTCAAGGAGACACGCGCGCGCACACACACACACGCACTCCAAATCAGCATGCTATGAGATACCACACAGAGTGAAGTTTGCTGTATATCCTTTTTTTTTTTTTTTTCTTTTGAGACGGAGTCTTGCTCTGTCGCCCAAGCTGGATTGCAGTGGTGCGATCTCACTGCAAGCTCCACCTCCCAGGTTCACACCATTCTCCTGCCTCAGCCCCCCAAGTAGCTGGGACTACCGGCGCTCACCACCATGACTGGCTAATTTTTTGTATTTTTAGTAGATGGGGTTTCACAGTGTTAGCCAGGATGGTCTCGATCTCCTGACCTCGTGATCTGCCCGCCTCGGCCTCCCAAAGTGCTGGTATTACAAGCGTGAGCCACTGCACCCAGCCTGCTGTATATACATTTTACAAATTTCAACCAGGATATGAAGAATGCAGATGGTGACAAATGACTCTGTGTTACAAATGAGTCACATTACCACACAGAAGGGAATGGGGAACAAAGGAGCTGACCTAAGTAACTTTGGCGAATACAGTTTTGACTAAATACTGTAAGGCTAAAACCAAGAACCGTACACACACACACACACACACACACACACACAACTTCAGTTAGCAATTGTGTTTCTCACAGTAATATATTTTCAAACTACTTAATATGTATGCTAGGGTTGAATAAACATGTAAAAATATCATAGATAATAAGAGCTGGGTTTCCTCTCTGTAAGAAAAGAAAGTTACAAATAAGGAAAGCAGGAAGGTTAGAACGAGTACTATGGAGCAAGACTGGAGTCAGAGGTAGCAGTGTGGACCCATGCTTTTGTTTTACAGATATATACAAAAATACATAAAGATGTGTGTATCCACATGTATTGGTGTGTGTATGTATATATGTGTGTACAGGGGGCCTAGTAGCTGTGACATTTCAGCATCAATGAGGACACCTAGTGCTCTTTATTTCTAAACATCATTGTTCAATAAAAGGAACCAGGGCTCCTTGGGTTAGTGGTTGCTTTCAGGTCTGGGGCGAGGAAAATACAAGACAAGATGAACCTGGAGCATCTTGTGGTGCCAGGAAGTAATACAGGGCTTTCAAAAAAGAAAGGACCTGTAATCCTAGCACTTTGGGAGGCCGAGGTAGGTGGATCACTTGAGGCCAGGAGTTCGAGACCAGCTTGGCCAACATGGTGAAACCCCCTCTCTACTACAAATACAAAATTTAGCCAGGTGTGGTGGTGTATGCTTGTAATCCCAGCTACTCAGGGGGCCAAGGCAGAAGACTCGCTTGAAGCTGGGAGGCAAAGGTTGCAGCAAGTCAAGGTTATACCACTGCACTTTGGCCTGGGCGACAGAGTGAGAGTTTGAAAAAAAAAAAAGAACAGAAGAAGAAAGAAGAAAGAAGAGAGAAGAAAGAAAAGAAGAAAAAAGAAAGAAAAGAAAAGAAAAGAAAAAGAGAAAGAAAGAAGAGAAGAAGGAGAAGGAAGGGGAGGGGAGGGAGGGAGGGGCAGGAAGGAAGGGAGGGGGAGGGAGGGGGAGGGGACGGGCACAGAAGGGAGGAGGGGAGGGGGGAAAAGGGTATACTCGCTGGAGAGGGGGACAGGAAAAAGATAAAGTAAAGGAATTGGAACCAATTCAACACCGGGACCCACACACGACAACCGAAAAGCCCGGGTTTTCCTCCTGCCAATGTAATCAAGTTACAATGAAGTCATACTGGATTAGGGTGGACCCTAAACCCAATGCCTGTTGTCCTTATAAGAGGACACAGGGAAGAAAGCACGGAATGGCCAGAATTGCCAGCACCCACCAGAAGTTAGCAAGGAGGCATGGGCCAGATTATATCCCAGAGATATCAGAAGGAATCCCCCTGCATCCACCTTGACTTCAGGCTCTGGCCTTCTAAATGGTGAAAGAATACATTTCTGTGTTCTGGGCCAGCCAGGTTTCGGTAATTTGTTATGGTAGCCCTAGAAAAGTCATACAGATGGTACAATTAATGTGTGAAAGTTTAAGCAGAAATAAGATATTCGCCTAATCTCTAAGTATCTTCCCTCTAATATTTATTAATTTCAAAGGGAAAATAGTAACTTTATCAAAATGAAACCTGACAGACACCACCTTGGGCAATGATGAAGGCTGACATCACTGGTAATACGTACCGTCATGTTCCCAACACGACATAATGGGAAGGGCGCATCACCTGTGTGGTGTCCCTTCCCTTATGCAAAACCTGTCTAATCACAAGTATCAGCTGGAACACCTAGGTTGAGGGACATTCTACAAAAGAACTGATTGGTACATTCAAGTGTCAAGATCACGAAACACAAGAAAAGACTAAAGGCAGTCAAGGATCAGAGGAGACAGGATCCAGCAACGAAATGCAGTGGGAGATCCCGGAACAGCAGGGGACATCATTGAGACAAATGGATGCAATTCAAAGAACACTGTGATTTAATGAATGGTACCGTACCACTGTTAATTTTTTTAGTTGTGATCACTTTTTTATAGTTAAGATGGTAACATATGGGGAAATGGAGGGAAGGCTTCACATGAACTCGGTACTGCTTTTGCAACTCTGCTATAAGTCCAAAATTATCTTCAAATTTAAAAAGCAGTAACAGGCATACCTCATTTTATTGCCCTTTGCTGTAGTGTGCTTTGCAGATATTGCAGGGCTTTCTTGTTTTTGTTTTGTTTTTTAATAAACTGCAGGTGTGTGGCAACTCTGCAAGGTGAACAGGTCCGTCAGCACCACCACTATTTTTTTTTTTTTTTTTTGAGATGGATTCTCTGTCGCCCAGGCGGGAGTGCAGTGGGGCAATCTTGGCTCAGTGCAACCTCTTCCTCCCGGGTTCAAGCAATTCCCCTGCCTCAACCTCCTGAGTAGCTGGGAATACAGGTGCGCACCACCACACCCAGCTAATTTTTGTTTGTTTTTGTATTTTTAGTAAAGACGAGGTTTCACCATGGTGACCAGGATGGTCTTGATCTCCTGACCTCATGATTCACCCGCCTTGGCCTCCCAAAGTGCAGGGATTACAGGCATAAGCCACCGCGCCCGGCCATCAGCACCACTTTTCCAACAGCATGTACTCACTCGTGTCCCTGTGTCACATATGGGTAATTCTTGAAATATTTCAAACGTTTCCATTATTATTATATCTAGTATAGTGATCCGTGATCAGTGATTTCTGATGTTACTATCGTAATTGTTTTGGGATGACATGAACTGTGCCCACATAAAATGACGAACTGAATCTGTAAATGCCGTGTGTGTGTTCCGACTGCTCTACCAACCAGCCATTCCCCTGTCTCTCTCCCTCTCCTCAGGCCTCCCTATTCCCTGGGACAAAATATTAAAATTAGGCCAATCAGTAACCCTAGAATGGCTTCTCACTGCTCAAGTGAAAGGAAGGGTCACACGCATGTCACCTGAAATCAAAAGCTAGAAATGATTAAACTAAGCGAGGAAGGCACGTCAAAAGCCGAGACAGGCAGAAAACTAGGTCTCCTGTACCAAATTTAAGTTGTGAATGCAAAGCTAAAGTTTTGAAGAAAATTAAAAATGCTACTCTAGCAAATACACGAATGATAAGAAAGTGCAACGAATGATAAGAAAGTGCAAAGTCTTATTGCTGATATGGAGACAGATTCAGTGGCCTGGATAAAAAAAAATCAAACCAGCCACAACATTCCCTTGAGCCAAAGCCTAACACAGAGCAAGGTCCTAACTTAGTTGATAAAGCAGCGTCAGAGTTTGAGATGATTGACTCTAATTTTGAAAGACGTTGTACTGTGACAAAATGCTATCAAACAGTACTGCATGCTATAGAGAAAACGTTCATGAAAGGTCGGGTCAATCAGTGCAGCAAACTTTATCACTGTGTTGTTTTAAGAAATTGCCACAGCCACCCCAACCTTCAGTAACCACCACCCTGGTCAGTAGCCTTCCACATTGAGGCAAGATCCTCCAGCAGCAAAAAGATAATGACTTGCTGAAGCCTCAGATTATCGTATTTTTTTTAGAAATAAAGTATTTTAAATTAAGGTATGTATGTTTTTTGACAGAATATTATTGTACATACTTAATAGACTATAGTATAAACACAACTTTCTTATATGCAGCGGGAAACCAGAAAGCTCATGTGGCTGGCTTGCTTGCAATATTTTCTTTATTGCACTAGGCCGGGGCTAAACCCACAGTATCTGCAAGGTATGCCTGTGTTAGGGGAAGGGGTACTGCAGGATGGGAAACCCCATGAGGAAAGTCAGCCAAATGATCACTTGATATTTCAAGACACAGGAAACTCAGCACTGTAAAAAATTAAGCTCAATAATTAGACTGCCACGACTGAACTTCCAGTGTACAAGGCGCCAATACTTGGATCACTCACAAGACAACACGCTGTGTTTAACATTTTTATTTTTAACTCCGCTTTGGTAGTACAAAAGTCATAAAAGTACAAACCAGACAGTTAAAAATACACTTGACACTCGAAATGGTGAAAAATTTCCTTTACAAATTTTTACATCAAGGTAGTAGCCAACTCATTTATGACACCAAAAAGTTGTCCATCATTAGTGTTTTCTAGAGAAAGTCTGCTGTGGATTCCCTCATCCTTAGAAAGAAGGAGAAGAAACACAAGACCTGTAAACATCAGTAGCTTTGGGAACACTTAGGAATTCTCAGAGAGTTCAGTATAAACCAGTAAAAAGCATATGTGTTGAAAATATTGAACACTTAACTTTTGGCAAATTTGGAAGCCTGCCAGACAAAAATTGCTCAAGTATTAGAAAATATTTAAAACATACTCTTGGTATAAATACAATTTTAAATATTTTTGAGTATTCTCTTGCCTGTTGTATTGCTATTTAAAAAAAAAAAAAAAGTGCTCTGACTTGCATAAGATGGAAAAATAATTAAAGCTAAAGAATATCTTACATTTTATCCCCCACCATTTTGAGGGCATATTTTTTAACTCAAAAAAGTATGCTTGTTTGTTTTTAATTAAAACGATTAGCCTAGGCTGCACATATATTATTTACACTAATACATACCACTAGAAGTCCTATATTGCTACTTTCTGGATCTCAGTGAAATTTATTTCCATACTGACTTTCTCCGGCCCACAGTGTAGATGAATGTATACACACACAGTGTTTATTAGTTGTCAGTAAAAATTCTCATGGAACTGAATTCCCCATTTACTTAAAAGGTTAGACATGTTTAGTTTGATGCTGGAAATAGAATCGCTTAAGTCTATGTACAGTAAATACTTTGAAGTATATTTTTATGGAAATCATCTTTTGGGACACAAATGAAAGATGTGCTTTTTCTATGTGAAATAAAAGAAGTGCCCAAGGCACCCCCAACACTGACATGGAGGCGGGTCTTGGAGACCTTATAACTCTCCCTGACAGCTCACCCTAGAGCTACCATAAATCACATACTACTATTTATGCCTCTGGGTCCTTTCAGGTGTTTTGTAAAATGTACAGTTAAAAAAAAAAGAAAAAGAAAAAGAAAAGTCTGTCAGGCCTAAAGGGAAAGTAACTGGAGTATTTTAAATAAGGAGCATTAGTTACAAGAGGAAAAACAGGAAATACACAAAGAAAAACATGCCAGAGGTAGGTGCAGGCCCATCTTGTATGAGAAGCAGGGTTCTTTTGGCTTGGCCTTGGGTTGTCCAAACAAATTTGTGTGTGTGTGTGTGTGTGTGTGTGTGTGTGTGTGACTTTAAACCATTTTCTCCTTTACTCAGTGGATTGACCAATAATCGCTCAGCTAAAGGTTAGGGAAAAAAAAAAAAAAGACCGGGTGCAGTGGCCCATGCCTATAATCCTAGCACCTTGGGAGGCCGAGGCGGGTAGATCACCTGAGGTCAGGAGTTCAAGACCCAGCCTGACCAATATAGTGAAACCCCGTCTCTGCTAAAAATACAAAAATTAGCCAAGCTCGGTGGTGCATGCCTGTAATCCCAGCTATTCGGGAGGCTGAGGCAGGAGAATCGTTTGAACTTGGGGAGGTGGAGATTGCAGTGAGCCGAGATTATGCCACTGCACTCCAGCCTAGGTGACAGAGCGAGATTCCGTCTCAAAAAAAAACCTTCTCAAAATGTGTAAGTGCTGTAGGAGTGACATGGTAGTGGCAGGAGTTAATGCTGAATTTGTAGTCAAGGCATCCAAAGTCTAGCATCTGGTCCCATCTGACTCCATGGTCCCTTGGGGAATCAACTCCTCAGGGCTAGACTAGATTCTTTCCACTGAGCTTTTACCACTGAAGATTCATCTTTTATCTTTTGTAACAGCTAACCTGTATGTATGAAGATCTAGGATGTAGGAAATGGAAAAAGAGAAACACACGCTCACGTGCACACATGTATACACATATACACACACACCCCTGAGCATAAGCTCAGACTGTACGTGAATAGTGTCACTGCACATACTGATCATAATGGAAAAACTACAGTGTGTACACCAAGGCCTGGGATTAGGGGCTGGGAAGGGTAGAGGCGGGGAGTGGTTAAGAAGATAAAAACAGCTCTTTCCTTCCCCGGAAGTATAATAAATTTTTCAAGACTCTTTCAAAGCAAACTGAATTTTGTATACGGCACAGCAATAACATTCCCTTTTAGGTTTTATTCACATGCCTGCTGACTCCATGACAGAAATTGCATAAAATATATAAAAAACTCCCGAGGCAACTTTCTATCTTGTAAGTTTTCAGTCTCTTAGAGTTCTTCAAGTCAAGTCATTCCTGCAAGAAAAAAACAAAAAAAGTAGATCATTAACCAAGGGTAAGCATCATATCACATATTAATCTGCCTGAGTATTTAAAAACACAGAAGAATTATAATCTATTCTTACCCTGTCCCATCCCATCCCACCCCATTCCTTCCACCATTACACATTGTTTTTCTAGAATTCAGTCTGAAGAAATTTAAGTAAAACACAATTAATTCCAAGAGTTCTCTGGAGATCTGGCTGTTTAAACGTACATGCCCCTCCCCCTTTCTCTCTCTTGCTCCTGCTTTTTCCACGTGATGTGCCTTCCGTAGGTGTCTTTCTAAAGCCCCACGGAAGAGAGTTGACTGGAGGTCTCTACTGACCATCCAGGACTGCACAGTTGGGATTTCAAGTAAGAACACAATGATTAAACATTCCATCTTAGGTCTTTATTGTACCTTCAGGGTTCTGGATTGTATTTTTAAGTCATTCTAACAACCAACCCTTGTCAACGTCTACATTTACATTACAAACAAAGCCCCATACTTGTAAAATAGCTCCCTGCTTTTTAAATGACTTTTTATAACTATCTCATATAATGAACAGTTCTGTGACTTTTTACTTTCCTGTTTTATAGACTGGGATGACCCAGGACAGGACTAAAATTACAGAGCTCCCCATGTATGCTGAAACACACATACCATGCAGGTGAACCCACACGAGGTTCAGGAACAAAACCTTCTCCTATCTGCCAAAATCATGTGTACCCTATAAATGCTACACAAAACCAGAGACAGACTCAGCTTGCAGAAATATGAAGAAATAGCATGAAGCTGGTAGAAGTGTTTTGAAGAACATACTTTTTACTTATTTTACAGATTGTCCTTCAAGATACGTACCTTATTATTATCCATGTTATCCTCTTCTGTCATTTGGTCATCCATAATATTCAGTGGTTATACGAGCATAGAGACAGAGCACAAGCGGAAGAATGAGGGAGAGAGACAGAAAGAAAGAGATTTATTTCCCAAATGAGATGATGGGCATAGGACCTTTATCCTCTTAGCTAAAAAGGAAATGAAAAATTGTCCAATAAAACAGCAAGGATCAAGTTTTTAATTCTAATGAAATAAGTAATACCCTGCACTGAATTGCCAAAACTGTACAAGAACTGCGGATTTTTACTATAAAACTGAACAAAGTCAAGTCTGTAACTACTTTCAGGTAAGAGTCAATTCATATAAACATTCTAGCAGAGGGGGAAAAAGGTAGAAAAGCCAGAGGTAGAGAAATATAAAAATGGGCCGGGCGCGGTGGCTCAAGCCTGTAATCCCAGCACTTTGGGAGGCCGAGACGGGCAGATCACGAGGTCAGGAGATCGAGACCGTCCTGGCTAACACGGTGAAACCCCATCTCTACTAAAAAATACAAAAAATTAGCCGGGCGAGGTGGCGGGCGCCTGTAGTCCCAGCTACTCGGGAGGCTGAGGCAGGAGAATGGCGTAAACTCAGAAGGCGGAGGTTGCAGTGAGCCAAGACTGCACCATTGCCCTCCAGCCTGGGTAACAAGAGCAAAACTCCGTCTAAAAAAAAGAAATATAAAAATGGCCCTAAAAAACAAAAGGAAAAAATGAGAGGGAATTTTCCAGGCAAAACCTTAAACTAGGCCATTATCTAGAAAACAGGTATGGTATTCCACTATTTTTATGTCTCCTCTTTATGTGCTCCCTTAGAACTAGACATTTTTGCATCAAGGAAAATAACAAAGTCACAGGTGGGAGATGTCAGGCCTAGAAAGTAATGTTTCATCACAGTAACAGTTTTCACTGCAACCTAGAAACACTCCTCATTTTGAGTGCTTTGCACAGATTTGACCGGCTTTGAGAACGGGGCATGCAAGAATACAGGCTAGGCTAAGAAGGAGCGGCCTGGATTCAAATCCAGACCCCTACTGCCAGCTGTGGAACCATGGCTGTCTCTGTAGCATTCTCTCATAGGGTTACTGGGGATTCGACATGAGATGATCCTATGCACAACGCTTAATACGAGGAAAAGCGATCAGTGTGCTCCGAAAGGTTAACTATTCTGGTCATTACCATCATCCAATTCTCTGCTCTCAACAATCACATTAGCTTTCTTCAACAGCTGCCTTCTGCAGCTGATAAAAACTGCACTGTCTGCAATATCGTCGAGAGAGGAAGTAAAAAATACAAATTGCTGCTTAAAGTCCTCACTGCTAATACCAGAAACTAAGCAGAAAAGGGAAAGCTAATCTTATTAAAACCCTTGCAGTTCTGGTCTCTCCTTACAAACACACATTTATTAGAAGGTAGCACATAACTGACACAACACTATGACCTTCCAGGTACTTCTTTAACCCAGAACAACAATAAGTATTACAAGGTACCTTCCACATTGTCCTGCAGCAGTCAGAAATCACGTGTGGCTGGGCACAGATACACCAGAAGGCTAACAGGAGTGGGTGGGAGAGGGAAGAAACACCCACTCACTCACTGTTACCAGCTGCCATCACATGGGACCACACCACACTGAGCAAGCCTGACCTCTCTCTTCAGGAGAAATTTGGTGATTGCAATTTACACAAGTGACTACTCAAGCTGGAAACAATCAAGCAAAGTTCCATTACATGGAAAACACAATTCAGAAATCTCAAAGTGTAACCATTTTGCTTATAAAAGAAGACTGACAGATAAAAATTAAGAACCACCTGGCCAGGCGGTGGCCCACGCCTGTAATCCCAGCACTTTGGGAGGCCGGGGTGGGCGGATCATGAGGTCAGGCGATTGAGACCATCCTGGCTAACACGGTGAAACCCCATCTCTACTAAAAATACAAAAAATTAGCCGGGCGAGGTGGCGGGCGCCTGTAGTCCCAGCTACTCAGGAGGCTGAGGCAGGAGAATGGCGTGAACCCGGGAGGTGGAGTTTGCAGTGAGCTGAGATCCGGCCACTGCACTCCAGCCTGGGCAACAGAGCAAGACTCCATCTCACAAAAAAAAGAACCACCCACAAGATTTATCTGGAGCAAAGGAAGAGGTTGTCTTTTTCTTTAGAGTTTATTGGTTATGACATAATCTTATAAAGATAAAGCCATAATCCTATCATTATATTATGGTTCCACTGAAGCTGCCATATGTCTCTGATTAGGATACACATATAAATATCTATGCCTTGTTAAAAAGGATTCTCTAGAAAAAAAGAAACTGATCCCTTTAAAAATTAGAAATGTGTTATAAGAAACTAGGAGCCTAAGCAGATTAATGAACAGTAAACGCTAAAATCTGTAAGTGTAGGGTGTTAAGGAAGGAAAAGTCTATGATTAATAATAACAGCACTGGCATTTGCAGAGCACTTTCTCTGTGCCAGGTACTGTCATGCTAAGCACTCTAGGGTCATTAACTCCATCTTCCTGATGACTCCATGAGTCAATCAATGATGATTCCCATTTTCATAGGAGGAAACTGAGGCTTCCAGGTTCAATAATTTACCAAAGGCCACACAATTAGTAATGGGAAAGTAGGAAATCCATCCCAGGCAGTCAGACCTGGAAGACCACAAAGCTACCTCCACACTGAATTGCTATCCGGTCACCCCAGAGACACCCACAGCATCACTGAGATCCTCTGGTACCCTCGCTTCTCTGTTCCCCACCTGTGTGGCGGGCAACAGAAAGGAAATGCAGAAACTAGAAATGCTGTCAGGGTCTCTCTCAGGGGAAATCACTGTGGTTGCATGAACAGTTAAATGATGCTAAAAACCTATACTTTAAAGGGGCCCAGTCCCTGGGAAGATCAAAAGTACACTTACACAACACTGAATTTCCATCTCATTCTAAGACAAGGCTATGGAATCACACAGTCGGATTCGTAATTTTCTTGAACACTTTTAAATAAAATAAATAGAGAAGATTGTTTATAGAAAGAGTTACATGACAGCAGTATTAACACTGAAGTCCTGGAGCTACATTTAAGTGATCGTTCACTAATAATCTGTGCTCCTTTAAGGCTCACACGTCTTAGTTAGAGATTTATCTTGTTCCAGGCCCTACTGACCATTCTGCGGTTACACGCTTGCGGGTTATGATTGCTGTGCATGTGACACCATGGTCCTGCAACGGTACTGCCAGTGTAGATTGGCATCTTGGCAGATAGAAATTAATGGGATCGCATCACAATGGATTCAGTGCTTACAGTCCTTTAAATCTTGCTCTGGTCTAAACTGTGTGTTAAATTTTATAAATTAACATGAATACCTTCTTATGTTAATAAATGCTCTTGTTCATTTAACAAACCCAATAGATTCATGCTAATCTAGGCTAATCCATGCAATCTTTTAGAATCAGTGTTTCCCAGAGTGATCAGCAGAACCTGCTTTAGAATTGGCTTAAATACTACCAAAAACTGCAGGTTCCTTGGGCCCCTCCCTGAGACCTACTAAATCAGAGTCTATGGGGTTGCAGTCCAGGACTCTGCTTTCCTATAAGATGCTTCATTGATTCTAATGCACGTATGAAGGTTTAAGCGTAAAGACCCAGTACTAATGTTTGTCAACTGATTAAAAACAGCAAGAATTAAATCCACTTCCAAAGCGTAAACTCTGCAAACACAACACTATAAAGTCAGTGGAGGTCAAAAAATATATCTCAGAAATGGGGGAGAAAACAAATATGACAAAATCATTTAAAGACCGAAATATTAATTAAAATTTCAGTAACTCAGCCGGGCATGATGGCTCATGCCTATAATCCCAGCACTTTGGGAGGCTGAGATGGGTGGATCACCTGAGGTCAGGAGTTCGAGACCAGCCTGGCCAACATGGTGAAACCACGTCTCTACTAAAAACACAAAAATTAGCTGGGCATGATGGTGCATGCCTATAGTCCCAGCTACTTGGGAGGCTGAGGCAGGAGAATCGCTTGAACCTGGGAAGCGGAGGTTGCAGTGAACCGAGATCGTGCCACTGTAGTCCAGCCTGTGTGACAGAGTGAAACTCCATCTCAAAAAAAAAAAAAAAAAAAAATCAGTAACTCTATTTGAACTGCAAAATTTTAAAACTACAGAATCATTTTTTAAATGTATTTCAAAGTAGTTGGGAATTAGAATTCGACTCATCTGCAGAGGACTCTTGATGATGAGATGAATGCCGTGTTATCACACCTGTTAAGCAATCACTGCGGGCCAATTATGTACAAGGTGCCACCTGAAGGCTCGGCAACGGATGAGAAGACACCATCCAAAGGCACTGCCCAAGCCCTGAAGGAGCTTTGAGTATGCAGGGAGGAAGCTTAAAGAATCAACTTCGACCCAAGAAAAATGAGACATGCTGCGTATCATTTTTAAACACAACTGGAATATTTTACAACTCGTTTCTTAAATCTAATAATATATAGTAGATGCTCTGTGTCTGTACATATAACGCTACTTCAATCTTTTTTTTTTTCTTAAGAGACAGGGTCTCACTCTGTTGCCCAGGTTCGATGTACAGCGGCACAATCATGACTTACTGGAACCTCGAACTCCTGGGCTTAAGTCGTAGAGTTAAAGCCACTACTTTAGCCTCCCATGTAGCTGGGACTACAGGTGCATGCCACCATGCCCAGCTAATTAAAAAAAAAAATTTTTTTTTTTAAAGTAGAGATAGGGTCGCTATGTTGCCCAGGCTGATCTCAAACTTCTGGCTTAAAGCAATCCTCCAGCCACAGCCTCCCAAACTGCTGGGATTACAGGTGTGAGCTATCACACCCAGCATCTACTTCAATCTTTGGCATTTGCAGGCCATTATGAAATGTATAAGGCACAATTCATTTACTTAATCCCTCACTGACAGACATTTAAAGATGCTTCCAGTTACTTGCTACTATAAATAATGCTGAAGTGAACAACTTTGAACATTATCTTTGCATTTAT